GGCCAGAGTGGACGCATCTGACCCGGACGACTGAGTGAGAGCGAGGATGGAGACTCCCTCGTGTGGACTTTGGTCTCTGGAGAAGCACAGCAGGCTCGGTAAAGGAAAGGACCAGCGGAAAGGAAGAACGCCCTCAGGAACGCGGATTGACACCATGTTTGCGACGGGCTCAGACTCAGCAGCAACGGTGAGCAGGGCGCGGCCTGGGCAGGGTTTCGTGCTCTTGAATCAAACGTGCTGAGTCACAATCAACTCAACAGCACCCACCAGCCAGGCACAGTTCTAGGTGCTGCTCAGAGGGAAGGAGGGGTTGTGAGGGTCTTGTCCACCCAGCAGGGTGAAGTAAGGGATTTGGGGACAGTCACGGACTGGGATTGGTCCATTAGGTCCAGTGGCCTCTCCGAGTTGGCGTGTCATTTATCTCACTGCCAGAGGCGCGAGGGGGGCCAAGAGAGAAATCCAGAAAAGCCAGAAGCCCTTCCAATGCCACTCAGCAAGTGCCAAGTTTGGACCCAAACCTCCCCTCAGTGGGTTACAGCTGACGGGGCTTGGGAACTGCCAGACCCGAGAGAAGTCTGCCCAGCGTCCCGGCTGGAGGAAGAGCGGAAGACACATACATACCCTCAGCGCTCCCCGCACCGCGTGGTCCCCTTGGAGCGGGGAGCCCCTCTCCTTCTCCTTCCCGCTGCGGCCCAGCTTTGTCCTCTGCAGCTGCTGCTTCAACTTGGTGATCTGGCAGCAGGAGGGGAGAGGAGGCAGGTGAGCAAATCCAGGCTGTACAGGCCCCTCCCTGCAAGCATGGCGTCATCCAGAGGCCCAGGGAGATTCTCCTATGGAGCCGGAAGCTAATCTCCCAGCTCTAAACAGCTCGCTGTGGTTCCAGTGGTGACAGGACGCTCCCCAGGAAAGCTGGCTACCTGGATCGCGAGGTGACAGGACTTTTAAAATTACCATGTGTTCCGTCTACAGATCTGTCTCCAAAAGATTAAAAATATGCAACCCTGAAACTGGCTTGCCCTTCACAGATTCCCAGAGTCTGGAAGACGACTCTATTAATAGAAATGGAAAATGATGTTTCTGGATGCGAGCCGCCAATTTATTCCTCAAAGTAGATTCATGAGTCTCTCTGAGTCCCCGAGACCAGGAAGGATGGAAACTTCCCCCTAGTTTCAGCAGAGCGATGTGCAGGCTCTCAAGAAGGAAAGCGAGGCTCTGCACTGACCTCCATCCATCCAGACAGACAGGCAGACAAACCAACACCCAAGAGAAACCCGTTGCTGTTGAGTTGCTTTTAAATCAAGGCCTCCCCGTGTGTCTGAGTAGAACAGGGCTCCCGGGGGGCTCGGCCACTCTTTGGGGGGAAGTAGGTGGCTAGGGGCTCCTTCTGAGGTGCCTTTGACCGGACTCAAACCACCAACCTCTTGGTTGAGCAGAGAAGCCTGCTCCCCGTTGCCACCACACATAGATACTGACTTCCATGTCCCGTGATGGGCACAGGCCCACCAGCATCAATTTCCACTGTTATTGCAGTCACCTCTGTAACCTGCATGCCTTCACCTGGCAAAGGGAGGGGAAGGGCATCGGGGCACGGCAATTTAAACACGGGCCTCGAGGGATGGAATTTGGAGAGGAGGTCCACCAGGATAGCCCAGAGGAGCGAGCGGTTAAGTTGGCCATTGTGAATCACTCAGAACAGGGCCCCACCTTAGTGCGAACCACGTGCCGGTTCTCAGCACTGGAGCCTCACTCCGGGGTACCTCCCACTAGCCCAGCACGCAGTGTGTGCTCGCACTGAACGTGGGACGGCCAGTCTGAGCAGCAAGGAGGGCAGAAGCTGCTCTCCTTGTAAAGGGAGCCCTGAGTCCCGCAATAGCCCCTTCAGGCACCATTACACAGTATGTCCGGGTGGAGCTGGTCTGGGAGCCCTGCACCTGGCCTTCAGCCTTCTCCTAAGGGAGAGGGCGGGCCAGGAAACAGGCTTTGAGAACACTGAACTATTTTCTTCCTCCTTGAGAATGGAGGCTGGATGACGAGTTGAACATCGGCAGGCTGAGAGCTCCCAGTTCCCAGGGACTCAGTCCGATCTTTCTCACATCCTGACCCGCTTCTCTGGATCCTAACTCACCCCACAGTGAGAGCTGCCCTGCTGTGCCTGGCTGCTGAGGGGCACAGGCCTCTCTAGCAGAGGGCCCGGGCTTCTGAGGGCTGGCCGCCACGAGACTGGGAACCAGGCACCCAGGAGTCGATGCAGGGCAAGGGGCGGTTGAGGGTGAGAGCCTCTACTTCAGTGTGAGGACCGTGACCCCGTGATGCTGGGGCTTAAAGAGGCAGGGATCCCAGCCACGGAGTCCCAGGGGGCAGTCACCTCTTTTCGGTGGTCTGTGCTGCCCCAGGATGCTGAGCGCTTGTGCGTACAGGAGCGGGCCTGCTCGCCTTCTAGCTCTTGCCAAGACAGGGGGGTCTGCGGGGAGAGAAGCAGGTGAGACAGAACCACGCAGCATGCACCGGGCAGGCCCTGGGAACAAACGTGCCCAGCCGTGGGTGGGGGGCAGGGGGTCTCGGAAGGCTTCTCTGTGCTGTGCTCGTCCACTCCCGGAACCCCGCCAGCCCGTTTTCTTCCTCGAGGCTTCCCCAGCCCACGGTGGTCGCCTTCCCACTCCAGTCCCCAGGACACCTCTCCCAGGGGCCCGTCAGGCCCACTCCTCCATACTCCCTCACGACTTTATGCCAGGCGCACCCCCAACGGTGAGGACACGTGCTGTCCTCCCTATCCTGCCCCCCGCCCCCAAGACAAAGACAAAGCAAACAAAAGCCGTGTTGTCCAGTGGACTGGGACTCTTGGCTCGCGTGCTTCAGGAGAACGGCCTTCCACAGGTGTCCATGGCCATTGTGCTCAGGAGCAGGTCGCCAGGCCAGGCTTTCCAGGGTCGCTGGGGGGTTCCAAACGGCCAACCTTTTGGTTTGCAGTCGAGAGCACAGCCGGGTGCATCTGGCCCACCCCGACGTCTCCCTACCCTGGCCAGCTCCACAAGAGCCTGTGCCCCGGGACCACTGGGCTCTGCTCAATTCCCCTCTGTGCCGAAGGCAGCACGGGTTCCTGTGAGCCCTGTCGGGATTCACCAACAGACGGGAGGGACCCCGTCAGAGGGTCCCCACTGGTGAATGAGGCACCAGGTGACCCATCCTGGGTCCAGGCCGAACGAAGCAGGTGGCTTCCTGTACCCTAACAAGTGGGGAGTAGACAGTTCCCGAAGGGAAGGGGCCAGAGCTCTGGGCCAAGTGATGATTCCTGGCCTCCATGACTTCACCTTGACTCCCCTTGGACCCCGCTAAGCCCCCCACGAAGGGCTCTCTGTCTCTCTCCTCTGCATGAAGCACGAAGGGCCCACGACCGGGGTGGGGTGGGGTGAGACGCTATTGGCTCTAATAATGAAGCAGGGAGGACTAGATTTCTGCCCCTAACAATGTCCCCATGTCCATAGCAAGGGAGGGACTCCAGGGGGAGGGACCAGCTCCGCTCTAACATCTCGGCACACGCTGCCAGAGGCGTGAGGGCCCGGGAACCAGCTCGTCCAGAGGAGCCGCCAAGCTCCCCCCGAGAGGCGAGGGGCGGCTGCAGACAGGAAAGGGGACGAAGTAAAACAGGCCGACGGCAGCGGCTCACCGCACAGCTGTTAGGAGAGCTGGGAGCGGCAGCCCGGGGACTGTGTGAACAGAGCCGTCCGAGACAGCTGTGGGGCAGGGCTGCGGGGAACCCGCACCTCCCTGGCTCTTCCTTCCACCAGCTGCCCGCTGACCAAGCCCTGGCCAGGGACGAAGCCAAGGGAGACAGCTGCCCCGACTGCTTGGTCCTCACACTGGCATAGGAAGCAGCAGAGATCTCTTCTCCCACAGTCCCCTCCTTCAGCAAACAGGCAGACAGCCCACCCATCAGCCCCCTATCCCACCTGGGCCCCTGAATCTGGCGCTGACAGGACACGGAATCCAGGCCTCGGCTCCATCTCCGGATGCCCACGCCCAGGGTGAGCCTCGGAAAAGGCTGCTCCAGCACACAGGCTGAGAGGCAGGGAGAGAGCCGCCACCCCCAGAGGCACCTCGAACCACCTCACAACGGTCCTCGAAGCTCAGCTGAGTCCCACACAAGCCTGCCATCCCTGAGACAGAACGGATGACAGAGGCCAAAGGGATGACTCCCATTGTCCCGCCTCCTGTCCCCATGGGTGGGCGGTAATAGGTGGAGGAAACAGCCACCCACAGGCTGCCGCAGCTCTCGAACTCATCCTACAAACCTTCACCTGGCTTCTTTCTGCTGAGCCGGGTGGAGTGGGGTGGGGTGGGGGGCAGGCCAGCAGGGGCAGTGAGAAAGGAGGTAAAAATCGCGGTAGGCAGGACCATTGCCTCTTCTCCTCCACTGCCCCTGCCACACTCAGCATAGCCGCCTGCTCTGTAACCTGCACTCTGTCTCAACACCCACCCCGGGGCACAGTTTCACCAGCTTTCTGTACTCGGTGGGCCCTCTGCCCGGCCCAGGCAAGCTCACCTGCATCTCCTTTTCTGCGCCTGCCCTGTGCAGGCTGGTCTCTCCCCCCAAGATGCCACCCCACCCACACTTCCCACCGAGGAGGGAGTGCTCCCTACGTTTTCTCCCCGCCACCTAACCCTGTCACCCTGTGTGGAGGGCTCCGGCCGCACATCAGTCATGCATTTGACAAACAGTTCTGGAAGGCACACTGTGGCCAGGGCTGGGGGAGGCAGCCACACAGCACTGTGAATCCCTGGCTCCAGCTAGGTCAGCAGGCACATCAGCGTCCAGACAGAAAATGCTCTACGCCCTGCTGTCTGGGGTGTTCAAAGCTCGAGCATGCGTGAGCGGGCATCTAAGAGGCAGTTGCTAGTGTCTCCCCAGGTGCAAAGGTGAGTGAACATGGAAGTCTCAGGAAACATCAGTCCTAAGATTGAACGGCCCACTCACACTGGCAGCCTCCTCGAGCGTCAGACCACAAAGTTGGATGGTGCCCGGCCATCACAGCGGAAGGTCCTTGTCCCCACGGGAGGGGCGGGGGCAGTGTAGGACGACATTCAGAATCCCGTGGAAGACCGACTGACTGCTGATAGGAGACTGGAAGAAACGTAGACCCTCCTCCAAAGCTGGAACTCACCCTACCCGCTCGCAGAGACCACCTACAGCCAAGCGAGGGGTGGGGTCCGGATGGGGCTGCCAAGGGGCCCCTAACACCCAGGGGGCCATGGGATCAAAAGGACAAAAGACGAGGCTGAGAAAGCAGGAGGGGCAGTGACGCGGGGGACGGGAACCCAAGGAGGACCC